ACTATTGAAATCTTGTTAGAAGTTGAATATAAGTGAGCTCTAGAAGTAAAGAACCAAACGGCGTTATATACTTTCGTTTATGATAAATATTAAGAGTATTTTCGGTTTTTCGAAAGGGACACCGACAATTTCGCGTCAATTCGCGAAATGTTTTTTCTTTTGGGACTGTTATACATGGTGTGTTTATTACATCCTGAAACTTTTACTTTTCAGTTGCATTAGTGCATAGAATCTGTCATAATGAATTACTTTCGAATGTTCTCATCAAATCATTCAGTATAATAAGGGAGTGTACTGTAAGTAATAAATAATTTTATGAAAATTATTTCAATTTTAGAACTTAATGAACGCATCATGCTATTTAGACATTTCTTTGTAATACTATATTCGCAAGAGTTACATATGATTCCTCACGTGCATAATAAATGATTACTTTTAGTTTAGACGAACGAGCAAATTGTTTCTTATATATTTCATGTAATAAGATTTCGATGAAATTCCATTGCCGTAAAGTCGTCTCAATAAATGGAGGTCCATTGTTCCTATGTGCATTATCATATTCGTGTCCAATTAAGTTTTGTTTTGTTTCTGTTCGACTAGAAGGTAGTATTTAAAATATTAGAAAGTAGTTATTGATATTTATCGCGATACGTTTATCACGTATTTATCGATCCTTTTTTGCCGATCGAAATTGTGAAACATCGATGGTGATCAAATTTACATTACGATCCCGTGAAATGTCAGATTTTCATATATTCACATTTCGAAGTGAAAATATATCTGTGTACTGAACCATTATTCAAAGTTTCATGAAACATTGAACGAGGTCTCCTTGTTTAATTTTTATGCGACTATTTCAAACCTCAAGCTTAAATTACTGTAGTGGATTCAATAGGAATATATATTTTAATCAGCTTAAATTTTAGTTTACACGATGCAAACAGGCATCTTCAAGTTTGGTTTTATAAACTTTATTTGCATTATTGGAAGAAAAAATCCCCTGGCATTTTCAAATAAAACAATTTTTAAATATGTAATCACTTTGAAATTAGATAATAAATCTTAGTTTCAATTACCACATTTTATGTCGACGTTGCATTACGAATCTAATAATAGTTCATATTTTTGATCGATATCGTTCTTTTATTCTTTAACTATTACAACGAGTTCTCGATGAAATGATTAAATAAATAAAATTCTTAGTAGTCATACGCATTGTATGTTGGTGTTGATATTCGTAGCACTTAGAATCAAAGATTAGTAAAACTTTTGCCGGCAACATTAGCAAAAATTAGAGAAATTACAAATAAAACGAAACAATTGGCAATTTTCCATTTTAATTCAGTTTTGTCCATTTAATCCTCCGTAGGCAAACATATTTTTTCACACTCCGTAGGTAAACTGGGTCGTGTTGGGTGTTCAAGTCTAATTTGTTTACTGTTTTAAGCATTCAAAAAATTTGAAAAAATTCTGGAGTACTCATCAAAGTCTCTGCTACATTGTACAATTGATCGTTAGGTCAAGTGTATAAAACTTTTTTCGATAAAAATAAAAATTCGTTTGAAAGAAATACTAGAGTTTCACTTGGGTTGTCCAAGTTCCAGATTGCCTACAAAGGGTTGAAATATGATAACAGAATTTGATTCTAAGTGTCTCTTTTCACTGTTATTTCATTTAAACATGTATTTCAGTCGCGTATTCACTGTTAATCTTGGTTAACGAGGAATTGTTATTATTTTGCAAGCTTTATTGCTTGATGAAGCAGGAACTAATCAATAAAAAGTAATTTATTTTATATTGTATACATATGATACACAATAATTATTTTGTATTATAAATTGCTATTTGTCTTTTATTCGTTTGATATGTTATTCTATGTTTTATATTAGGAATCTCAATGTTTATGTGCAATATGCTTGTATAGTTGGTGTTTATGACAATAAAATGTGGCGTGGTTGATCAAAGTACATTTATGCTTTCTGTGATCCTTTCACATAGTTTAATCAAATTGTGGGAATTTAGGATATGTTCCATATTCATTTCTTTCCAGGAGTATTCTGCCCTCCTTAGCTTAATTATCCTAATCAACATTTTTGAACGTCCGAGAAAAAGAGGATTTTGTAATTTTCCTTGTGCTGTCCTTTGTTAGGACAAATAAATTAGACTGTTTCTAGAGTCAGATGTCAGATATTCATAGTTTCATAGGACATTCCAACTTTTGTGCAGTTTGAAATATTTCAAAACACTCAAAAAAATTAAAAATTAATTTACCTAAGAACACGTGAATTATAATATCACGATTTAAATTTATCCATATAAAACATAAAATATCTTTCTTTTGAATTGAATGTTTTAACGTTTTGTAGTAATTGAAAATGAAAGCTGTAATAAAATTATATGCAATGCATACTTCAGTGTCTGAAAAAGTACTTAAACATTGATAAGTGTAAAGTTGTTGAACACATTTTATTCTTTCTCACATGGTTGCTCGTATTTTCATTTCTTAATAAAAATTCCTATTATCGAGTTCTTTCAGTCATGAAATACAAGGAAAGAAAAATCTAGGCAAATATTATTAGCTAAACATGCGTTGTATTTTACTCCGTTCCCTTAATTCTCCGCCTCCATTCCCTCTTTTTCTGTTGTGTCCACTTTCTTGTATCCCTCTCCGGTTATTATAATCGGTGGTTTTGTTAATTTCTGCATTTCTTGTTCATTCGCTGTATTCGACTTTCCGTACTTGTTCCACAGTTGCTCCTTCGATGTTCCGAATATCAAGTACACAACTGTTCCAGCAACAGAATTGATAGCAGCTATGATAAAAACTAATCGCCATTGTGATACAGTTTGCTGAAAAAATAATATGAAAATTTGCTTTGTATAAACATTGTCATAAGTGGTATTCTATAAGAATTTCGAAATTTTATCGGGAAAGTGGTACTTATCTGCACCGAGCGCCGCGTGTAAGTAGGTACTATCGGTGGTATAGTCAGTGGAACAAATATAGCGAGCTCGTAAATTAAGCATCAAGTGGCGCCACAACTTGATACAGCGGCAGTCAGGACCGCATACGGTAGTGCCGTTCAGTCATTGCCCGTACGGGCAGCGAATTACCTTCCCCGGGCGTAAACAAATCGGCGGGCAACAAGCCACGTTTTCTCGGGCAATGGTGTATCTATGTATGTATGTAATAACCATCGCCCCTCTTAACACTTTGACATTTCGCTCAAAAACTCGTCGCTGCCGCCGGCGACTCTCGCCTACGTAGAATGTACCGCCGACACGGTAAAAAGAAAGAAAAAAAAAAAGAAAGAAAAAGAATGAAGTCACGTCAGCGTGACGCCGGCCGAAAACTGAAAACCGCGGACGTCAAAGTTTAAGAAGGAGAATTATGTCTCGAAGATATGCAACACAATTTCGCTTTAATGTATGCGACATTACTAGCCCGCGGCTTTGCCCTCAGCACTGCCCGCGGGCATCGGCGGGTGCCCTTGCCCGCCTGAGGTTAGGGTCCGTACAATAAAAGGACGACAATTGACAACTAACAGTACTTCACGTATATACTATCGGACAAATTAAAGATGTCAGTTAGCATTTTTAATATCTAGAGTTTCTTTCTATGTCCGACGTATCGGGCCCTTATCTTTCATATTTCTGTCAATTCCCTTGTTAGGATACTCGAAACGTGTTTACTTCGACTTCCGACCTACATTTGTTCCACGTAGTATAACGAATTTCACTACAAACCGCTACTGCTACTGTTTCCATACACGATACGATTTTCAAATTCATTTTTCTGGAAAATGAAGCTTCGTACGACAAAAAGTTATTCTATCATTTCGACTTATTTTCAGTCATACAATATCCCTCACCCTACTTGTACCACGATTTACGGCCCACGGTGTATACTTTCAGACAATAAAATTAATGAAATATTACGAATTTGAATTGAGATGAATTTCAAAAATTCAGCAAGTAATAAAAATTTTAAAAACTATGTTTTAGCCATTCTTTCGTATATGGTATGTATGGAAGTAAACTGAAACCGACTATAAACTATAAACAAGTAACGACCTTAAATAATCGCTTCAAATAAAAATGACTGTGAAACGTAGACTTACATTATTATTTGTCAAAGCACCAACCACTACTGGTGAAATGAATCCACAGCCGACTACTATCATCCCACAAAAACCAAGGAGAACGCTAGCGTAATTCGGGCTGAGATCTACAAAGTTTGCTAAGGTGGAAGCAGAAATCGCACCGTTCACGGCAGTTCCTGCCATCATGAAAATCACTGCAAGCGTCGGATGGCATCCACTGTAGCCCAGCAACAAAATGAAAAGCCCCTGTAAGCCGGTGCATACGAACGTAGCCAGTTTTCTAACATTCGTTAAGCTCATTTTTTTGGCACGTATAAGCCAGTCACTCATGATTGAGAAGTAGTACGAGAAAATCATTCTCAGTATGTGCGGGGCTCCAGACAGAAGTCCAGTCTACAAACAAAAGTTGGGATTAATCAAATTTGTGTGTATCAATGTAAAGGACATTAGATCACAGTTGTATTAGAAAAGGATAATAATTAACAATATATTTTATTTCGAGGTATATTAGGTTCAGTCACTCCCACTAATATTCGGACACTCTTTAGAACAGTGTAACTTTTTCTAAATTGGACCTAACGACTTGAGTTTTCTTGAGAAGTTAGAAGGATTAATATGCTAGATGACGTGTGCAAAAAATTTGGAAAAAATTGCAATTTATGGAAATCACGAAGAATACTGTAAAGGTCACTATTTACAACTTCTTCATCTTCTTCTAACTTCTCATAAAAACCCAAGTCATTTGGTCCAATTTTAAAAAAGTTACTGTATACCACCGGCCAAAATTTTGGGGATACCTGTCGACTTACATCAATATTGAATCTGCTACTAACTCTTTATAGATTTGAAACTGATTGTTATGGATATCAATAACAATTTACCTTCTTTTGATTAATTTGATGGATAAAAATTTCGTTAAAAAATTCTCAAAATTGCTAACTTTTTTCTGGACATTTTCATGCAACTTACAGTGCACGGTGATCCCAAACTTTTGACCGGTAGTGTATACATATTAGGTATTAGCGAAATTTTAGAATGCAGTACAATTTTATCTTGGAAAATAATTTAAAGTTTGTTAATTAAATATGTATTTTATTACATGTATTCCCCTGAAAATACACCTACCTTTCACTTATTTAAAATTTACAAAAGTAAAATTCGTCATTCTTGGAACGATTATGCATACTTGAAAGTGTTATGAATATGAATAACAAATGTACGTATCTTTTGAATTATAGTGTTCCGCAACGTATCTGAAGCGTTTAATATTTAAATGACATAGACATTCAATGCTTAAATGATGTATGACTAATTTGATTTGCCAATTTTGCAGTAGGTATACTATCCAGAGGAAAAACTTACATTAAGCTGTTCTATGTAAATTGTAAATTAAATTTCAAAGGGTTTATTTATACCGCATTGATGTTCCATCCGTGAATGAAGTTGAAGTAAGTTGGCGATTGAGTCATCAAAGTGAGGAAACCCCATGCTCCACCCCATTGTGCTACAGTCGTAATCCAAACTGGGCCTGATGTCAATATGGATTTCCAGGGTATCTGACTCTCTTCTTCGTCGATCGAGTCAGCAAGATTCTCCAAGATGTACTTCTTTTCTTCGTCTGTTATTCGAGGATGTTGCTGAGGTGAGTCATGTATGAAGTATAACCAGAAACAGTACCTATGGAATTTATTTTTGTGTTAACATTTTTTGAATAACAAAACTTTGGCGTAATTCAACTCGGTCAGTAGATAAACAGACCTTTAAATACCATCAAATTAAATTTAATAACAAAGTTACATATCACTATGCACTGGTTTTCTTATTACTTTGTAAGTATATGTATGTACAAGGTGAGGCACGTAAAGTGTGACAATTGAATATTATTAAAAATATTCGTGATATGAAAAAATTGTGGTAGAGAGAATTGAAGTATTCCGGAGGGGTATACTTTTAGGCGAGGATGTCAAGGTCGCCTTTTTTTTTAACGGAAAATTTTCTCATATATTTATGTAAGTATATTTCACGCTCAGGTGAATTCAACGAATATAGTTACTCAAGGTCAATCAAGGTCATAAGTAAGGAGGAAGTAGTTATGTCCTTCCAATCGTATTTATTTGCAATATTCTAACCATTCTGTTCTACTATTGTCTGAGGAATGAGCGACTATAGTCATTGAATACACAGTTTGTTTAAAGAAAAAGCGACGACTTTGAACTATCTGACTTCTTCGCGTATAAAAAATTGAATTACGCCAAAAAGTGTGCACCTTAAAATACTTTAACTCTTTCTAATGACATTTCTGTTAATATTTAATTGTCACCTTTTGCACGCCTCACCCGGCATATGTTACTTGACAAAGCCGTAAAATTATTGATAACTTGTGGATAGAAATCGCGCGAAAATTCAAGTATTTTCTTAATTTTTGTCTACTTGAAATCTGCTCAAGATTTTATCGAAATTAGATGTATAACGTTTTACGTAGCTCTTTTTGAAAATCTTTCATTGAAACTGAGAATATTGGTTTCGATCAGATCGAAATTATTACCAAATCACACCCAATACTGATGTTACATAAAAAGCTGTACTCCATCCAAACGTGCTACTGACAGCTGCACAAAGTGGATAAGTTATGGCAGCACCCACAGAGCTACCTGAAATGTGACAATTAAAGTCTGTTTTATGGTAGCTAGTATTGTCAGTAGATTGTTTAAAAAGCAGCAGCGTCGTTTACGATGCCGATATACAGTCAGTCGAAAAAGTCTCTGTACATCTCGCTCAAATTTATTTAAGATTGTATAATTTCAATTATAAGGATGGTAGTAAATAAATTTGATTTATTTAGAAAAATGATTTATATTCATTTGTTAACAATTATGTAGCAAATACAATAATGTAATAGAAACGAGGTGAAAAAAATTCCAAACAAGGCTCCGAAGGCAAATACCAGTTAATATTTTATTTACAAGAAGGAGAAAATACGTTACACAGAATATTTTTCTCATAATTATACTTATTTGTGTAACTATTGACAAATTAATGTGAATCATTTTTCTTTTAAATTGAGAATTTAGAATTTCTTTTAAATTGAGTGTACATTAACGCGACGTTGATAAATTGTCACTAATTAAAGTTACTTAATTTTGGAATCGCACAAATCAATTTGCAATTCCTCGAATTAAATTAACGAAATTTCATGCTTTACTACTTTGTAAGTTTACTAGAAACACAGTAAAATATTTCATTGTTATCGGAGTTTGTTTCTGAACAATGTTTCATTTGTTTGAAGTTAAACAACAAATATTAGCAAAATGTCCTTTTGCAGTTGATTAATATTTCATTCGTCATTTTCATCATTTTTTGTAACATAGAAAGTGAAAAGTTACGATACTCGTTGTCGTTCTTCGGGGACAATATATACATATATATTTACCTAAATAGGAACTGACAAATCTACTTCTCTCATTGGGAGGAATCCATCTGGCAGTCATATCGTGCATCGAAGGCCATATAACACCCTAAATAAATATTTTCCATCGAATAAATTGTTTAGCATTTTGTTGCAATAACAATAGTGCTTGTTTAGAGATAATGCTCGTTAGTGTGTTGCGATTATTATTGAAACGTTTACACGGATAATCGTTATCGAATCTCTTATCTTCACATTACGAATGCGTTAACGTTCGATCGAATCTGAATTTTTCTGTCGACTTACCGCGGCCAGACCCTGAAGAACTCGTAAGAAAATAAGAGCGTAGAGATGATAACGTGTCATAAATGGAATAAGGAAACCGAGAATCGCTGTAATGAAATTTCCTAAGCCGTAAACAAGCTTCGTCCCGTAACGTCTTGCTAAAAGCCCACCAGGAAGTTGCGATACCCAATGCAACCAGTAGTAAGCTCCCAAAGCTAAGCCTTGTTGGTACTCGTTCCAAGCGAAACGGTCGTCGTACTGGAAAGAAAATTAAAGTGAAGCAGTATAATTAACGTAGACATCTGTCGATAGAATTTCTCTAATGAATTCGATTATAAGAAATGAATTAAATCGTAGTTGAAAATACGTAAAAAAGTTTGACGAATTTTAAAAATTAACATTTTCGAAAATGAAACGTTCTATGAGAAAATTTTATTTCACTTGTGCAATTTATTTTTGAACGTTTTAATATCGAATTATAAATGAATAGATTATTTTTGCAACACATGGATTAATTAAGCGTTGGAATAATTAGTGTTAAAATTATTTCTCTTTCAATGTTTGATTTCTGAGCAGTAAGAAATCATAAAAATTCTATATTAATAATTCTTGGCTCAGACTAATAAATTCCGATAAAATGGAGAATAAGAATACAATGTTAAAATACTAAAAGTTTCTGTCTAATCTTCGAGGAGTATCGAAGAATGTGAAACAATGGATGTGTAAACTATTTGATATAGTAAAAAAGATTTCATGTGTTTGATATGGGGAGATGAAAATCTACAGTGTCGTACAGTAGAAGTAATTAACACATTCGAGACCGATGACCCAGCATATGGGTCGTGCAATATGATAAAGATTAGTATTATCAGGTTTGTAGAATAAGTTGTATAAAAAGTAAAATTGCCATTGATTTTCAAATTAACACGTTCAGGATAGCAGCGAAATTCACGGAACACTTGCTTATGACCGGATGGTTCGATTTCACTGAAGTGTTTATCATTAATACTTAATTTTTTCAGTTTCTAACCTTTTCAGCTGTTAAATATACTTGTTATTTCATAGAATATTATAGGATCATGTGGTCACCGGTGGGTCACATCGGAAAATATGTAAGAGCAACACTCGATGACTCACCGGTGAGTCATTATCGTACTGGACGTGTTAAGTAGAAAATGAGAGCCGTCAATATATCAAAATATAAATAGCGGTGAAGAAAGTAAAGGCTTTATGCTATTTCATATTGCCGGTTTCTGGGGATAGTCTTGTAATTATATGTCGGTCTCCAATGTGTTAAAACAGGGGTGTCGAACTGGTGGCTCCTCCTCCTTTTCGCCTGCTCCACAGAGCCGTAGGACAACGCCTCCCTCCACACCTAATTCACACTTCTCCTTTGGGTGTCGCGCGAGCCCCACCATCAGGCTAGTCACTACTATCTATATAAATACATAATATACACATGTTACACATGTACTGTGTAGAGCTCAGGAGGTTGCCCCTGGAAGGAACGCGGGCCTGATTGGATCATATCCCCATAAGCCCACCTTCTTTAACACGTTGATTGCCACGTTGGTCACCTGTGACCGGAGATTGTTTCCTCGTCGGAGCCACGGTGGTCATTAGTGACCGGAGTGTCTCAGACGTTTAGAATAATTAAAATTAAACGAATATCGTCAACTAAAAATTTCGAACGTCATAGCTAACTAGACATTATTTTGAATAAAAAAAAGAAATAGTAATAAAGCATAATATGATATGCCTAGAATAATGAAAGTTTTCTTGTGACTCTCTGAGAGCAACATGTAAATCTGGCATAGCAGTCAACATGTTAACACAATCATAAAAATAGGGAACACGTATTGTCATTATTGGACGACACGATAATCGCGAGCGAAGTGCCCCTCTTGCCCGTGTGCCGCCCCGGGGGCAATCTCCTGAGCACCGCGCAATATATGTCCCTTGTGTGTAGCTGACAATACCAGGATCATAAATATGTAAATAGTGGGACTCGTGCAACTTCTGTAGGAAAAAATGTGGGGGAACCGGATAATTGGGAGCTAAATAGACTCGTGCGGCTCTCGGAGGGGAAAAGTTCGACACACCTGTGTTAACACATTGGCGTCGGATTTTTCACTTGGGTACGAATGACGCAGATATGCGTCATTGAGATTTTCACATATCTGTCTCGAAATAAATTTATAAACCGCTGCAAATGGTTCGATTTCTCTTCAGAAATGCCGTAACAGATGTTTAACGAATTCGACAGTTTATCCCGTGTGAGACTCGGGCAAAGCGTGAAATATTTAACTGTTTAACTCAAGGGAGACTCTTAGGAAAAAAGTTAAAAAAATATTGTCCTAACTATGACGTAGGGTTGTGTATCCCTTGTTTTAAAAATGATCATACCCGACGTAATTATTAAAAAAATATGCGTGGAATATAAATTTTTTTTACCGTAATTCATAATTTTATTACAAAGGGTTGAATAAAATTTCTTTGAAAAATATTAATTAGTTATAGCAGTTCTTTCCAAAGTAGACGCGAAATCAGCCCGTACCCATGTCAAGTGCGTTAAGATTGAAATATACATACCGCAATCTTGTCCGGGATTGGCGTAGAGGAAGGTGTGATGTTAAAGGTATTGTTGCTATTGTACGTTTGGTTGTACAATAGGTCTGCAGTTTCAGTGTCACATTGGGCAGTTGCAGCTGCCTTTGGACGAGGCAATACCATTGTCACTATCGTTAGATTCAAATTGATCCTCAGCATGTAGTTGATGGCGAAACCGCAGAATACAAGATACCAAAGCACGTCTCGGCATGACAGCAGCTCTTTTCCTTGAATATATTCAATCAAGTATAGTAACTTATCGAAAGAAATCCACTTTGAATGAAATTTAATTACTGTTTCTTGCAATATTGGTTACTGGTTATTTTAAAATTAATGTAAATTGATGAAATTTCTGCGAGGATGAAATATGACAGCGTGTAGTTCAGCATTTACAATTGTCACTTCGTTTGACATTTAACGTTGTTTGAAATATGTTAACTTAAAGTGTAATGCAAGGAACTTTCAACATCCGAATTTATGTACACACTGTCGCTTATAAGTATGTATTAGGACGATTTCAATGGTAGATTTCAGTATATTTCGTTATTCGGTAAATGTCCGAATACCAATGAACAGGTGTGCACGTAAAGCATAAATTGAAATTACATTCCTACACGTATAAAATTCTTCCATGCCGTAAAAAATATATTTTCTAATTGTTAAGCATCAATAAAATACTTCGAAATCACTTTCTTGCACGAGATACTCAATGTGAATTTAGGGAGTTGGTTTAAATGTATAAAATTTGTATATAAGCTATACTTACCAATTTGCAAGAATTATTTTTTTTTTTTTGAAAGATGAATTTCACCGGTAGCAATTTTACAATGCAAATTCCATATAAAAATACGTAATGTAAAATAGTAATAATTTAGAAATTATCTTCTGATTGAAACAAAGATATCTGCGTATAACTATTACGCAAAAGATTCAAGTGTCCTAATTACAAGTGAATTTCATCGAAGCAAACAAGCGTGCGCGAGAGAAGTTACAAAACAGTTTCTTCTTTCGCGTAACGAATAAGATGTTTTAAATGCTGCGAGCCTATCTTCAAGGTAATAGATATGCAATCATTGTCAAAAGTCAATAATTCCATGGACTCGGTTAAATCGGAAATATGCGTAGGGACACGTGTACGGTGATGAAATACAAGGGGAGAATGGAAAATATCGCCTGGCGATAACGTGTAATAGTGCTATTGCTATATCGTGAAAATTTCAATCAACGGAAGGGAGCCAATGTATTATACGATACTAATGATTTTTTTCTTCTTAGAGCTGTACCACGCCAATGATTATTTTTAGCTCCTCCATGCCACAATTATGATGGGATCGAGTAAGATATTATGTAAAGAACGATGTAATATATTTATTTTTCATAGTTGAGCAATTTGGCGAAAATGAAATAAATGATTTATCAGTTATAAATTATAGTAATAGTTAATTGAAACAAGCTTCGATCTTCAGTTGAATCGATTGAAGTTAGTGTTTGCATTCGTGTAATATTGTCTATCTGTATAATTTCAGTTCGGTGATATTTGATATTGTTCGTCTGACAGTTTACGATAATTTAACTCAGAAATCTGTACTTACTCTTACCCATCCCGTTGCTCCTCGTCTTCGCGAGTAACGATAAGTATTCGCTTGAGCTATCAATTGAATAAAGGGGAACGTTGTTGCACAGATGCAACGTTTTGTCAAGTTAAAATTCGTGCAACATGTGTCACCATGTGCCACAAAAAACTCTCGAAGACAATGTTAGAAGCCGTTATTCAATGTCAAAGGAAACGTCGAGAAACGGTCGAAATATTTCTCCGATATGTACAGTATCCGTGGCATTATCTTCCCATCCATGAAGACACCTTTAATCCTGTCAGTTTTACAGAAAGTTTCACAAATGTTGCTCGCAGGTAGAGGCTTTTTATTCCCGACGAACTTCGTTCAACGTTTCGCGCTCCCACGAGCATGTGTTAATCAATTAGTGTCGCGGAGAACAGTGCATGTAAGATCTTCAATTATATTTACGCGAACCCTGAGGAATCTCCCCACGAACAACCGTCCGTCACAGCCGTGATAACGAAAAATATGCGTTTTGTAAGTCTATTTAAAAGCCCTGCTTTTTCTTTCATTTGTTTTATTGTTTGACGAGGCTCGTGTCCAACTATCCTCGCTGTTCGTCGATCGTTAATTCGTTAATTTATGGAGCGTGTCTGTAAAATCGGTCAATCGACGACGTATCAGTTTATTTCTCGAATATACCGATGAGACTGAATCCGCTTATAGGAATAGATCGATCCGTTCAATTTTACAATTCCAAGATGTAGCAGTCTGAATTTTTGAATATCGAACTCTGAAAATTGTTGCGCCTGTTAGAATTTCAATTATAACACGATATCGTGGAAATAAAGTGTTATTTGTGGTATTTAGCACTTGACAATTCTATTTGTTACATTTGAAAAATTATTCCATTACTTTTATTTTTCATTCAATTCGCAAATTAGTGACTTAATATTGAGTTTTTAAATATTGATAATATTAAAATGTTAGTAATATTAAAATATTACTCCTAATGGGTTAATAACGCGCGCCATTCCTAATATTTTCTGAAAATAAACTAAACACCATTTTCTTTCACCACTTCTTTATTCAATTTAATACATATTTTTTAAATGTCATTTTGATTGCACAATAGAGAGGAACATTAATGAATTGCTGTGACGTTATATCATGAGATATACATAATTATGGTTTATAACTGTTTAAACATGAAACACTGACACAAGTAGCATTGCAAACAACGCGACAGTAAAGATTTATGGCTGGCATTATGCACAAAAATTTTTGATGGGTACGCAAATTGCTTATGTCGCAAGTTTAAGTTTGGGATAAGAATTTAGTCGTTTGTTCAACGGAACAATTTTTCTTATTTTAATCGTAGGACATTTTAAATAAAATCATACAACGATACGTACCTTGTAATACATAAAAATAGTAACGTTATAATTTTTGACTATTAAACTGAATCTTTTGTGAAACATTATCATCATTTGATAAATTGTCACTTGTTAAATAATATTATTCGTTGAATACAAAATTGCATAAAATCAATAGCTGTTTTATAATTAATATAAAAATAATACGGCACGTATAATCCCAGATAGCACACAGACGTCTTGTGAACGTTCTAAAGACATCGGGTAAAAAGTCTGAGGATGTCCAAAAGACGTCTGAACGACGTCCAGTGTTACAAATCAAGATGTCTTTGAAATGTGACGTTACGAAGCACTATACTGACCGTAACCCTATTTCTAAGGATGAAAATAAGCTTTAGGAAATAAGTTTTGTAATTTTAGTTGACGGGGACAACCGTTACAATGTTTGTTTTTCAAAAAATGTTTTTTTTTTGAGGTTAGGTTAGGTCATCAACTGTAACTCTGTAAATTTTCAATGAAAATACTTCTAAAAATTCTAGGTATTACTTCGAACATACCTGAATACATGTACAAAATGCCATGTATGTCAAGCTTATATTTTTTTTTAAATAAATTCGCAAATATCTCGTTGAAAACGGTCGTTCAAATGGGAACACCCCCTTAACCCTTTAACCTATAACAACGTGTCAGACTAGTAAGAAAAATTCATTGTAATTCTATCTTTCGTTTTAATTTGCAAGACGGAGGATTACTAAATGTAATTAATCTGTAACAGATTAGCTTTCGTTACCTGATACAGTACTAAAACAATGAATGGCTGACGCTTAGATGCATAGTCAGAAAAGAAATCATAGGTTAAGGGGTTAAAGACGTAATGTTTATACGTTGTTAGAGCGTACAACGTAAAATGGACATCTCTAGGACGTGGTGTGATATCTGGGATGTAATAAATACACACCTGAAACTCTCTTTACACGGTATAAAAAAAAAAAGATCGTGTAAAAAAAGCGTTTAAAAGTGGATTTGTAGCAAAGTAGAAAGCTTGTGTTAAACTAACGCAAACTATGCAAAAAGCAATTTAAAATACAGAGATGCGTTCAATCAAAATATTTCATTTAATAATCATACAAAAAATATGTTCGTACAGGATATTCACGATTTTCGTGACATTTTCAGCGGACTAATTAGCGTGGGTTTTCTCGACCGTGTTAAAGTAGGCAAAACCTGTTAAAAGAACTGTGTAAACATTAATCGTGTAAAAAGAGACTCAGGTGTATTATATGATACAATACAATAAAGCAGTGAATGAGTATTAAGATAAACAAAGTTGGCAAGGAAGACAGCTATATGTGTTATGCTCCATTTTGTAAATGAGACTTATAATTATGTGTGCGTGCGCGTGTTTTAATTCTCCAATTACGAAATCGTATTTTCTAGATAACATGTTTTTCAAGTAATTTTTAGAGTTCTGTATTGCTGCAGAAATTTCGTTGTCGCTGAAAACACGGAGTGTCTTACGCCATTTAATAATTACTTCGTAGACTAGTTTGGCCACTAGTGAAAGCAATTTCCTGTTACAGAAGTGGCGCAGATCTTTGCTGTATATTGATTATCGAATTCACGTATTGAACTATAATGAAACGATCGATTCAGCAAACCGGTTCGTTTGCTGAAATTTCTCCTTCTTTTCCGTGTAGTACCTCGGATAAAGGAACTGTGCAATTTCGTCATTCGCGGGCCACTTATCTGTAATAACAGTCGACAGTGGCGTTTAATTCCTCGGCAACTAATGATAAATTAGTGAAAGTTTAGAACTGTACTTTATTGCTTGTGAAATAAGCCGTTAATAATGAAACGCGAGTTTACTGTAGAGATACAAACGAGAGTGTAAGATTCGAGCACGCATATGGGTCATGCATAAGTATAACAACTGAGAACTTTGTAATGCAAAAAGAAAGAATTTTTATATCATACCGGCAAGCTATTATTATTCGCTGTTATTATTATAAAAGATTTACCGCTGTGTTGTAAAATGTAATCTGTTAAAACAAAGCATCGGAGAGCTTGTATAATACATGTAGATCATGGAGGTTTCTATTGCGTGTGTTATGATATTATGTAACTTATTACAAGATTTGTTAATCTTTCGAACACTATACTTCATATATGTATTTGGTAATAAATATAGAGATAGCTTAACCTAATGCTGCACTTTGCACAAACTGAACGTTTACAGTGAATAATCTGAAAAACGTTCTTTGAAAGAATTTATATTATAAAGTATACAATTGTTTAATAATATATACAGGGTGATTCACTTCAAATATTCCCATTATTTCAAGTAGTAAGTGGAAACATTGCATACAAAACTTGTACGGTTGCAAGGAAGACAAAACACAATGGAAATAATTTCTTTACAAGTGAAGAGGTCTGGAGGTCATCCAAATTTTTTACAGTCAAATTAGATGGAATATGTTATTCTGGTGTTTATTTAAGTATCTGTTAAATTATCTTCCACGACCCGAATGTTAGGTAGCAATTAAATGTGATTCTAAGGTGACCCATGATTGATATAGGGACAAGGAAATAGGTGGTCAAACTTTGGTACCCTATTCTATTGTCCCTAAGGATGAAAAAACGTCATATAAATATAGGTCCAAAAACTCTTCCTTTCCGAGATATAATACCAAAGTTTGGCCACCTATGTACTTCCTTGTCACCCTGTATATACGGAGGCCATGTTTCCAGGGGTTTGAGTGTCCGGACGCTTGCCCCGAAGAAATGTTTAAATACAGTGTCAGGGAAGCGACGTGGTGGGTTTTAAATTACAAAAAAAATTAGATAGAATAGCAAATTCTCAGTATAAAAGTATTCAAAGTAGCATTTATCCCATAACTCATCGTTCCTGAGGTACTCGACTTTGTCCGCCCTATTATTTTCATTATGAAACATGGTCGAAGCGACACAATGTTGTAATCTGTGAACAATTAAATCCCTTGCATGTTCGATCGTCTCGGGGTCTATTCCAGTACACGCTGCAATGAACTGTTGCATCATATCTTGCTGTGTAGTTGGCGTTTCTTGATGCACAATAGTTTCCAGCGTTCTCTACAAAAAAGAAGCTGAAGTTGTTAAATGTGGCGATAGAGATGGCCAGGAAATTGTGCTTCCGCGGTTTGAAAAAATTTCTTTCGATTGGAAAAGTACTTTTAACATAGGTTTCATTTATTTCTCTTCAATTTTTTCTGAGTGCCTGTGTTTATGTCAATATTGTAGTATACAGTGATTTGTGTGTATTACGTTTGTCGCGTACATAATTCACATTGCGCTTGCAGCACACAATGAAATAAACATTTGGAGAACTTTTATCTTTAATTTTTAATAACTAAATATCTTTAATTGTTAATAACTGGAAAACGAAGCCTCAAGCGCAATTTTTTAATTCTTAACTTCCGCCTTAATTTGGCTTATGGAAACACCCTTACAATTTCTCGCAGAAATAGTCGAACATTTTATACACAAAGTGTATAGATGGGAGAAATTTTTGTTAGATTTATCAGTCAGTTAGATATAACAAAAATTAATCTAACGCCTTACTAGGAAGTATATACTACTTTTGTATACGTTCAGAGAAATCCGTTTAGCCTTACACAAAAGGCCCTGACAAAAGGCCCTTCGGTCCCAAGCGGGGTCGTAGGCAATATTAGGGCGTTGCGTAGGAGCATTCTCAGTCCGTAGACAGTGCTCTTACCATCAAGTAGAAAAGCGGACCTTCCTTGTGTCTAATAAAAGTTTATAGTTTAAAATAAGGATTATTAATTATTTAACAACCAATAACTCCCATAACCCAATAATTTTAAAGGCTGGGACTTCGTTTTTTAGTTGGAAGCAGTTAAAAAATCGGCTAAAATATCTCCGAAACCCGGGAAACTTACGCACACCTATCAGTGTAGAGCAGGTCAGAAGACGAAGGTACCGTCACCGCCAAAAACAACGACACACAGCTAGCAGCTTATTTCTTACTTCTTCTGTTATACATACATATACAGGG